CCGCCGAATTCACCGATGTCGCTGACGTTCGTCATGGTGTCACGGCCACTCGCACCATCGGACTGGCCCTGATTCTTCTTCCTTTTCTTCGTCCGCTTCACTTCCGCTGGTAGGGCATTCCCAACATCGGTGGAAAGAGTAGCGTACCTATTTGTGATAGGTACGCACGAGCTACCTTCACCATTATTCTCCACTTTCTCACGGAGCTTGCTCCGGGAGCGCTGCCTTCCCATCACACGATGCAACGGGCACTACGACACGAACGCGCAACTCGAACAACTCGACTGAGCGAGCCAAAACCGGACTAAACTGCTTGACTACTACACTATTCGAGCCTCAGTTGGAACCATAAATGTACATCAACTGGACTGAATGAGTGAAGTATGATGAGATGAACTGAAATTATCAGACGGTACCTCTATTTATGCTTTTAGATTAGCTATGAAAGTCCATCCTACTTGGAAAATTATGCTATAGAACGGATTATAAAGTCCCTGAATTTGTGTTGATGGGGGCGAGACATAGCAAGCCGTACGATTGCAAAATTCTCGAAGTAGGAGGGGCTTACAATGCTTATCTCTAAGCATAATAGAGGTACCATGTAAAGACATTCCAAGGTATTTTCAGCCCACCGATCGATAAAAGAAGCTTTTATCTAGCATCTAATACGACAAACACAACAAGAAATGGTTATATGCTTAAGTTATTAACGAAAGAGAAAGTCGATGAAGAGAATCGATCAATGTTACCTAGGACCTAATGCAATGTTCAGCTTGAATATTATCTGAATTTTTTCAATGTGGTACTGTAGCAATCTGGCTATCAAAAGCAACAGCAATGTTAATCCAAGCACCGAGGAATGTTAATCCAAGCGAGTTATTAACAAAAGAGAAAATCGAGCATCGCGGTTACGCGGCTACGGGGTTGCTTACTGTCAAATTTATAACCTGTGATAGATATGGAAGTCAGTTCTACAAAACGCGAACGAAATCTTTAAAAAAACACAATATACAGTTTTTTTTTTGTTCGATCGGTAGATAAAAGATGTATTGAGAACTTATTGGAGGGATTTATGGCTAATCGATATATTCCCGATCAACTACGAAATGTTGCATGACATTGGTGCAAAATTGTGCAATCCGTTTTTGTGTGTGTATTTTTTTTAGCGTTTTGAAGTTGAATCGCTGAGGAAACCTTATTTCTGATCAATCTCAGTACCACATAAAAATTCAAGAGAACTAATATCAGCTCTCACAAAACTTATAGCAATGAAACTGGAACTTCACGTTTGCTACAGTGCAGTACGCAAGGAATTTCAATTTCAAGAGTGATGTCACAACCGTCCAAGATTTGTGCCCGTATGATGGTGAATTGGGAAGATGGTTACATTCTATTCTCCCACAGGTGTCGAACAAACCATGGTTCAAAGGGTTGGATATGAGTCGTGACTTTATACGCGTTATATCAAGGCTTATGTCCAATCACTCGAGCATGTTGTTTGGTCATGTACCTTACACCGTGTTGCCAGATCTGAGTTATCCACATCCCTCAGGGCCCCAGGAAAACAACCCGCGATACCCGTTTGTAACCAGTGGTGTGTCTGTCTGTCTGAGATTAGTGAGATTGTCGCGATTAGTGTTTCGTATTTTATGTATAACAATATGCCAAGGAAAGGTTTGAATACAAGCTACCAACACCACCCATCGCCCACAAAATCACCCACTGGACAGTACACAGCCACACCACTAAACGACAGGAAGATCCGCTACCTACCACCAGATGGCACTGTTTACTGGATTTGGAGGCCATTAGGAGGTGGCATAATGGGGCCATGATGAGGCGAAATAGGGCGGAAGGACGATGGCTCAGCGAGGAGGAGAGAGGATAGGTCAGCCGCCATCGTCGAGAATTATTTGATTGGCGATACTCAACAGCGATACTTCGTAAAGCTAGTTCAAGCAAGTTCGAAAACCAGTAAAAAACCGTGAGGACGTGAAAAAAAAAGTGAAGAAGGAGAGTGAGGTGCAGAACCATCCAGGAAAAATTCCCTTCTAGAGAAACACTTTCTCGATCGCCAATAACCGCCATCGTGATTCCCCATTATGTCCACAGGACCCCGTAGTTTACCGCTGGCAATTCATCCACGGCGTGGTCAGACCCCGTAGTGTCCGTTATTCGGCATACGGTTAGACACGGAGCATCTTCCGATACGAAGGTATCCGGGAATACTAACCAACGGCCCATCGCCACGCCACGAGTATAGTGAGGAGAGAGAGAGAGATCGAAGAGCCGTCGCGGAAAGTACCGAAGTACGCGACCGGCTTGCGAACTAAGTCGAGGAAAGGAACCGACTGGCCTGTGAAAAGTACCCAGAAGGAAGCTGAGGAAGGTGAAGGAGTGGCTGTGGAAGGACCAACAGCGGGCCCGCGCTGAATAATTAGAAGAAACGTCAGGCGTAACGAGGCAGGAGATAGCGAATAAGAAAGTGGGACGAAAGTGGGAACAATAAAGGTGCCTAAAGCTAAACAAGTGTTGTGTGTGTTAGATATTCGAGTGTTTCCTTGGCCGTGATATTCGAGCGTGCATGCCGACCCTGAGGTAGTGTAGAGGGGGGTCTCATTAGTGCTGGGCAGGGAGCACCCCATCTGTCACACGTTAGAGATGTCTTGGCGAGCCGAGACCTCGACTATTTGAATTTTGAATTTAACGGATAGATTTGAGGATTTAGTAGTTAGTGTCATCTTGTGTTCTCCCAAGTTGTTAGCTGCCCATCGGTGTACCCCCATGTTTGTCTTTTTCATCAGACTGTCGCCTAGTTCGAGATCAAGAGCACATTGCTCTCCAAACCTTGTGTTCACAATCCCTACCCTGCCATCCATTTGTCACAATTTGTTACCCCTAACCTCGAGATAGCCGCGAGTAATCGGCCCCCGCTTTACTAACGTTAGTTTTAAGTAATTTTGTTGTCTAAACAATGAATATCGGCTCCGCAAAGCTACAGCAAATGAGCCTGGAAAAATAAACGAATTATTAAAAAAAAAGATTTGTGCCCTAGAAATCTTGAAGTGATAGGGAAAATCAGCCGTCATGACGGTCATTGTTGGACGCTTCAATGAATCACCTGAAGAAAGCCTTACTCATATCTGATTGTAATTTAGGAACCAAATGTAATAGATGTATTCGCATTTTATGAGGTTTATGAGAAAATCATAGGGACGAAATCATAGGTACTGTAATTTAAATCAATATCTAGAAAAATGCACGAGAATTTCACTACACAGCTTAACGTAGTTTACGTCAACCATGCGGTCGTATCTTATACACAACCCCACATTTTTTTTCAAATCAAAAATGAGAACTCGTTTGTGACTTTATCATTATTTGTTTACAATTGTTTGATTGAGCCAATATTTTGTAAAGTTCGGAATAAGATAAGAAATGGTTATAAATATTAAGTCAAACGGTTCAATATCGGATTTTGTTTTTGACAACCATTTCGAGTGACTCCGCACCATGTAGGTCTCAATCAGCACAAAGAAACATGAGCAGTTCATTCGAGATTCAAACATGACAAGAATATCCCGATTCTGCACTTCGATCGGCAAAATAATGGTTACGCATAAATAGCAAACCTTCCCAACAAAATTTTCATATGAGGGCACTTCTAGTTTAATATGTTTCATTGCTGATTTTGCCTTCTTCGGAATATGAGCAGTTATTTGGTGGCACTTTTGTGATCTTGCATGAACTATTCTTAAAAAATATTTTGCTTTTTTGTTGCTTCTCATTCTTTTCCCAAACCGGAACAATACAGATATCGTATGACGGAAAGGGAACAACTATTGAAGTTTCGACCTAACGACCCATTCATGACCTATTCAGCCTAATGACCCATCCTCTTATCGACGACGGTGCTCCTCTTGAAAACCTCTGTCATAAAGCAATAAGCGACCAAACAAACCACACATCAACTTCCACTGCCTTCCATACCCCCATTCTCGATGCAGTGCAGTTGAATCCGGACACTTTTAAAAGTTGATTATGAAGTTCCTAAGTGGATGAAACATTAAAAGACTACCCGGTATTCGTTTCATCACGGTATATCACTGCGACGCGGCAGCGCAGGGGGTGGCGACGGACAGACGGGCGTGATAAAACTTGACAATCGGAACAATTCCACAATCATCGATTTAATTAGCCTACTTCCTGTTCCGTTAGCCCGTCGGACGGACGACGTCCACCATGGCGCGTGGCTGGTGGCAACTGTCACCACGCGAACTCTCATCAACCATGACCTGCCTACCTGTGCCGGAGCGCCAGTCTGCTGCTTGCTTTCTCAGAGCCTACCTAGTTGAGTTCAAATCTTTTTTCTCTCTTCGTTTCGGTTGGAAGGGACGTAGAATTTCCACACCTGGTGGCCGTCGAAATACAACTACATACAGATACACCGCGAGTGCCTGACACACCGTAGGAAGCGGCCTAGATGGTTTTGGGTGACAATGGGGATGGTGGGTGTTCTCATCCCCCTTCGAATTTTCATTCAACACAGTGCTCACCAACACAGCGACCGAAAAGGGGCTTTACATGAGTGAATGAAATGCTGCTTCGTCATGATGGTGTGGTGTTCGTGGCGACGACGACGACGAGGATGACGATGAGAATGTGTTAGTATGACAGGGGGGAAAACACGCATTCGCATTTTCCATTTGACCAGGCTTGTCACGTGTGTGTCATGTGTGTCTTGCTGGCTGATAGTCGGGGAATTTTTGTCATATCAGAGGCTGTACTCGTGTTCGTGTGCGTGTTTTACATACTGACATAGTTTCCACGGTACGGAGGCGAGTCGAATCCTGGCGGGGTTTGGGAGGAATTTATCAATAATACAGACCGTTTCGAATGAGTCAGAGTGCGAATGGCGTTACTGGGCTTTGATTCAGACACATCAGTTTCAAATGCAAATCAAAAGTTTATTCATCATCAATTGGTTACGGTCGAAGTTTTCATCCCAGAAGACCGTTCAGCAGACCGCCCAGAAGGCCTGGAGCTGAGCTAACTAGGGACGTGACTTGCGTAGCAGCAGAAGCGGCGAGGCTGGTCACGTTGGCAGTGGCGGAGTTCAGTTGGTCGATCAGAGTCGACGGGACGGAGCTTCCGGCGGCCACGACCTGTCCGACGATGGAGTCCAGGGTGCTGGTAGCACTAGACAGCTGCGAAGTGAGGCTGTTGAGCTGCGCGGTAAGGCTAGAGCTGAGACCAGACAGTCCATTGCTGAGAACACTGTTCACAGTGGATTGGACAGTTTGTGTAGCGGCTTGGGCTTGAGCCAGGGCCAAGGTCAACGCGGAATTGCCAGTGGAGATAGCGGTGGACAACGCGCTGTTGATTTGGCTGGTCAAGCCGGAGACGGTGGACAGCAGACCACCCACGACGCTGGACAGGGTACTAGAGACAAGTCCGGTCAGCGAGGTCAACAGCTGAGGATGGGCAACGGTGACCTGAAGGGGGGTTCAGAATGCGTTAGTTGAGGGGGTTATTTCGAACATGACTGGATACTTACACCCAACAGGCACAGGCTAAGGGCAACGATCAGCAGAGTCTTCATTTTGGGTGGGTTTGGTATTGTAGCTTTCCGTCGAACAACTGGAACTGTCTAACGGTTCCATCGATTGCCATATTTATACGGAATATGATGTGCAGAATTTAGAAGGTTTATTGACCATCTGTGCACGTGATGTTCACGTAGAATCTGTTGCAATATGTACACGATAATTGGAATGTGTTCCAATCAATGGAGATTATTGTTGCAATGCAAATGAATTTTTGGTGAATTTAGGATGCGACTCGAAAATTCATGTTTCGATCAAGAGCATCACTTCAGATACAGTGCTGATCTTCTTTTTGATGATGCTTTCATTGTGAAATTTGTTTTGTTATCCAGATCGAAGCGACTTGGAATCGTAATCTAATTCACAAGGATCATTCCTGGACTGGCTTCTGGGCTTTCTATGATGCCATAATTATTTGAAGCCATGTGAATTCTCATAATTTAGATATTTGGATTACTTGTTCTTTGAAAAGCTCACAGTGGAAATGTTCCGAAAATCAAACTTCTAATTCGGAAGATCCTTTGAGTTTCGGTGAATAGAACAGTCACTCAACAAAGGATGCACTTTAACTTTGAACAGGGTTGTTAATGACGTTAACACCGTTAACGTCATTAACAACCCTGGCCTTGAATCATCTCAAAATTTGTTTAGACTCACTGTCAAACTGAAATTCGAACCACGAAGTCGATTCCGCAAACCCATGACGTCAAAGCACGTGTGCAACTGGCAATCGCAATTCCCGGTCGCGTTCCAATTTGAGGAAGAACACATCTGGAACTGTAACAATGGTTCTCTTTCAATGATGTCGTAAGTAATTTTCACATAAGGACAGCACAGTAGGAATGCTGAATTTTTAGTATAATTTAAAATGTATCGCTTGGATATAAATATGGCGATCGATAGAACCATCAGACAGTTCAAGTTGTGTAACCAAAGCTTCAATACCAAACTCCCAATATGAAGACTCTGCTGATCGTTGGATTGAGCCTGTGCCTGTTGGGCGTCACCGTTGCCGAGCCCCAATTGCTGAGCGGTCTGACCGGCCTGCTATCGGGTACCGTGTCCGGATTGCTGAGCACTCTGCAGAGCACCCTCTCAACGCTAACAGGCCTAGTCAGCCAAATCAACACCGCTCTCACCAGTGCCGTTAGCAGCGGAAATGCTGCCCTAACCGCGGCCCTGGCTCAAGCCCAAGCCGCTGCCCTCACTGTCCAATCGACTCTGAGCAGTGTTCTCAACTCAGGCCTCACCTCCGGAGTGTCTTCCCAGCTTAGCACCTTGACCTCCCAGCTGTCCGGTGCCATCAACAGCTTGAACTCCATCGTCAGCCAGGTCGTGGCCGCCGGAAGCTCCGTCCCGTCGACTCTGATCAACCAACTGAACACCGCTACGGCCAATGTTGCCAGCCTCGCCTCGTCTGCTGCATCTCAAGCCACATCCCTGGCCGGCTCTGCTCCAGGACTGCTAGGTGGTCTGCTGGGTGGTCTGCTTGGTTAAACTGCTGGATTGTGAAATCTTCAAGTGAGAAACAATGATAAATAAACTACTAATTGGCATTTAAAATCTCGTTGTTTTGTTTGTTTGCGAGACAAGTTCGTGGTCTGATGGGTGGTTACAACATATGTACGGTCGGTCTGATGGATCAATGCCTTCTCGCGACAGTTGGTTTATACCTCAATTGACTGTTGCTTTGTGTGATTTACTACCACTTGCTACCGTACGTTCAGATCTGAATTCGAAGTGTATTGGCAACAGCACACGCACGAACGATTGAAAGCTGTATTAAATAGAACAGTCGCATCTATACCCGATCATCGTGCTTGGAACTTAGTGAACCGAATGGGCTGTAGTTATACATTTCTTTATGACCAGGTTTTCAATGTTTCTGTCGTCATGGCAGCCTTCACAAACCGACGACATCCCTCAACTTACCCAAGTGGCTGTCACGAAAACGCTGTCACGAGACATTATATACAATTGATATACGGCAGTGGAGTATGGAAGAAACCCAGAAAAATGATCCCGAACAGACATGTCGGCCGGATGTCGGAGTAATGATCGACGGCGGACAAATGACGGGTTGATGTCGGGTCAATTCTGTTTTTATGTCGGGTCAATGTCGGGTCAACATCGGGTTGGGGTTTGATAGAAGTCAGGTTGGTGTCAGGTAGGCTTATTTTTTCGCCGGAATGTCGGAATTTTGCAATGGGCAGCACGAACGTGATAGCAACCGAACGAGTTTCGGCGTCACACTGGTAGGGTAGTAAAGGGTGATACGGTCAAAATATGGTCAATATCAACTTGACGTATTTCTTTCAATTTTGCATTTAAAAAACCTGAACACCCCTCATTTTGAAGGTGTGTGTGTGTAGAATGTTGCTCCTATTTTGATTTTGGAATTCACTCTTCAGTTGTCAAAATGCCGTCCAAGCAAGAAGAGCAGCGTATCAAAATTTTGCTCGCGCATCGCGAAAATCCGAGCTACTCGCACGCAAAGTTGGCAAAATCGCTAAAAGTTGCCAAATCAACCGTTACAAATGTAATTAAAGTGTTTCGGGAACGTTTGTTGACAGCCAGGAAGTCTGGATCGGGGGGAAATCGAAAACCGGAAGCCGCTGAGACGACAAAGAGAGTTGCCGGTAGTTTCAAGCGAAACCCTAACCTCTCTCTCCGAGATGCCGCAAATAAGCTGGGTGTATCGTCTACAACCGTGCATCGAGCCAAAAAACGAGCCGGACTATCGACTTACAAGAAGGTAGTGACTCCAAATCGCGATGATAAACAAAATACGACGGCCAAAGCGCGATCCCGGAGGCTGTACACGACGATGCTGACGAAGTTTGACTGCGTGGTAATGGACGACGAAACCTACGTCAAAGCCGACTACAAGCAGCTTCCGGGACAGTAGTTTTATACGGCAAAAGGAAGGGGAAAGGTAGCAGATGTTTTCAAGCACATGAAACTGTCAAAGTTCGCAAAGAAATATCTGGTTTGGCAAGCCATCTGTACCTGTGGCTTGAAAAGCAGCATTTTCATAGCTTCCGGGACTGTCAACCAAGAAATTTACGTGAAAGAGTGTTTGAATAAACGTCTGCTGCCTTTCCTGAAGAAACACGGTTGTTCCGTACTGTTTTGGCCGGATTTGGCATCTTGCCATTACGGTAAAAAGGCCATGGAGTGGTACGCCGCCAACAACGTGCAGGTGGTTCCCAAGGACAAGAACCCTCCCAACACGCCAGAGCTCCGCCCAATTGAGAAATACTGGGCTATTGTCAAGCGGAACCTAAAGAAGACCAAAAAAACTGCTAAGGGCGAGCAGCAGTTCAAGGCAAACTGGCTTTCTGCGGCGAAGAAGGTGGACAATGTGGCTGTACAAAATCTGATGGCAGGGGTCAAGCGTAAGGCCCGGCAATTCGGATTTGGAAAAGCGGAAGCCTAACTGAATATTTTTCCTGAATTTTATACTAATTGAACTTGAAAAAGAAATTTAATTTGATATTTTAAATAAACGATTTCACCGATTTTCACGCGTTTTCCCTTGACCAAATTTTGACCGTATCACCTTTTAGCAGTCTCACGACCAGCGTTGCCAGTATTCCAGATTTATCTGGATTTTCCAGATTTTCGGTCATCCGGCCAGATTCACAGACAGATCACGTATATTTCCAGATTTTTAAAATATGTTCCAGATTTTCCCAGATTTTTCAAACGTGTTGCTTTAAAAATATCATTGCAACTGATCTACACTCTAATCAAAAAATAAAAAACTGCTTCTTTAATTATTAAAGGCCAGCAACGTTAGAAATTAATACAACATCGTACATGGAATTGCTACAACATGTTTGCATGTTAATGGGTTGCAGAATCATGAAAATGGAGCCATTTTCTAAAGATTATACGCTGAAAAAAATCTTCAAACTTTTAGAAATAGTGGGCCTGAATGTTTGTTTAATTGGAATTTTTATTTATTTTCTATATTTAAAAAAAAATCAAAATTTCAATATGGTGGAATTTTAATAATTTTTCAATTTAGAGAAATCGAAAACTGTTCCGGATTGAAAACAATAAATTCTGCCTTGGAAAATTAGCAAGGCTTTTGAATCTAGACAACCACCAGGACTTTGAAGTATGTTTGTGAGATTTTTGAGGATAATTCATAAGGAAAATTTGAAAGGCATCGGATATTTCTTAGCATTTTTTTAGTACCTGTGAATATTGAATAACAGCAGTCTGAATTTCTTTTGAATTCTAAATTGTCCTAGAATTTCAGATTTTTAACTTTTTGTTGAAAATAGTTTGCAGTAAAGTGTGAGGCAAATTTTTTGCGAAACCAAAGAAGAATTTCAAGTTAATTATGAGTAGAGTTCCATCCATCTTTGTAAGTTTCGTGGTCGTGTGGTGTCACCCGTCCTTCAGGCGTATTGTGAGTGCCACAATGTGAGGGTTCGATTCCCGTTCCAGCCAGTGGAACTTTTCGCAACCTGAAAATTTCCCTACTGGTCTACTGGGTGTGGTGTGTGGTCAGTTTTCTAGTGTAAAGTTTTCAGTCTGTGCAATCTCTGGTTGAAGACAGTGTCAGTTGTCTTTTAAAAACTCTGATGACAATCGCATAGAGATTTTGTGAAGAATGGAAATAGAATTCGGAAGAGAAATCAAAGAAAGTTCTTATGATGAAACTTGAGGAGTATGCCGATACGAATCGTAAGAATAATTTCAATGGAATTCTGTTCAATGTTTCTATAGAGATTCATTTTTATTAAATTTTAAGAAATTCAGAATTATGCAAAAGAACATCTGGCAATTTCTGGGAGACTTTCAATACCATTCTGGCAAAGTATTTGAGTACTTAGCAAATACTGAAAAGGATTTCATAAACAATTCTGGCCTTACCTACAAAGCAGCTCAAAGGGAATTATCGGATAAGCCTGAGAATAGTGTGACGGTCATTCTGAAGAGTGTGCCAAGGAAATTATTAAGAATATTCTAATGGAATTTCATAGAGAAAGATG